GGCCTAATATTTGCATAGTCAGGTCCTAGGTATTATTTTTTCTTTGCGCTCAAAGTATAGCACAGAACCTTCCAAAAGTAGATGCTCGGTTCATATTCGGAGAATAACTGAACCTGTGAGCATCGATCTTACTTATGATAATTTAATTCTAAAGTCTTGGACAAGCTAAGTACATATAGTTACTTATCTTTTAATTTTATAAAACACACAGCCAAAAGGTTAAGGGTGCCAAATATTGATCACTTTACTCTTGTCCCCTATTTCTAGAGTTACCCATTTTGCTGCAGACTTTTCTCACATTCAAGATTTCAAACTCAATTCTTATTGGAATTCAAGATTCACATTCCAATTGAAAGTTGTATTGCACTGGATGTCTAAATCGGATGGAAGGTTTCGCAATTTGTTTTGCAAAACAGCCAAATTCTCAGTCTTCAACCAAATAAACAAGCGTGACCAATAGCACTCATTTACTTAGATTGCAGTGCTAAGTCAAAGGGATACTTGAAAAAATGCTCCAAAATGCGGATGAATCTCCAAATGACTCATTTATACCAGGAACACAAAAGTATTGTACACTGAGCTCCCTCCCGCCACACCCAGCCATCCACTACTCCAGACAGGGACTGCCCTCCTCAACAAGTGAAAGTCTGCTTCCACTTGTCTGGGTGTGGGGAGGAGCTGCGGGACATGGCCCTGGAACATGCACTGCCACGGCATTTCTGCCATGACTGAGTGCAGCTGTGGCTTGGGCTCTCTCTTCCTCATCTCTCAAAGCCTCTTTGTACCGGGTCTGGAAGGCGCTGGGGACGGTATGATTGATCTTGGCCCAGAACTCCAGGACTCTCATCTTGCTGGTTTCCGCGTAAGCTCTTGGGCCCCACAGGAACTCATAGCATGCAGGATCACTGTTGGGCACCTGCCGGTACTCCAGGTATTTGAGCCTCACGAGATCTTGAGTGATGAGCTTCCTGGTTTCCCCAAATATGAAGTGTTTCTTCCCAGGGTACACCCGCATCTTATACAGGAAGGCCCAGATCTCCTCCTCAGTGGCACAGTTGCCCTTCAGGAAGATCACGCCCAGCAGATTCATCAGGAGACCCGTCTTGGGAAAGTGCCTGCCACGACTCACTGCGCCTTTGTGAGGGAGGTCCATTTTGCTGACAAGGATGTAGGAGCGCTTCCTGGAAGCAACTTCCTTTAAATCCATGCCAAACACCACCTCTATGCTGAAAGAAGCTCTGCGGAGGATCTCAGGGAAGTGATTCTCATACTTTTTCTTGACAATCTTCAGCATATCTGCTTTCAGAATGGGCTTTTTCAACTTGTACATTTGCATCAGGAAATGCACCAGCATACTCGTCTTCTTGGTTAGAGGGTCTCTGGGAGACTGCTGAGTGGAGGGTGGGGCCTGGGAAGGACGTTGCCTCTTCTCAATTTTGCTGTTGGCTCCTTTGTGTGATCTCATGGGAGGAGCACCTTCAGATGGAGGGGCAGGCAGGGCCCTCCTCAGGCTCTTGCGAGCTCTGCCTGGCCTAGCAGCAGGCTTTCTCTTGGTCGCAAGCCCCAACGCAGAAAAGCAAGAGGCGGCGGATTCTTTTTTCTTTGTTGCAGTGGCCCGAGCAACCCGGAGACCTTGGGTTGCAGCTCGGGCCTTGCAGCACTTCTTTTCGGCGCAGAGTTTGCGCTTTCGACACCTAGGCATGATGGCTGTGACCAAGAACTGCAGGCAGCAGTGTGGGCAGGAAGGCAGCTGATGTGGGCAAGTGGAAGAGGGGAGGAGAGGGTATGAGTGCCTTCAGCATGGAGACACCACCTGGGATTTAAAGAAGGCTGCCTCTGCAGGTTTCCGTGAGAGACCACTGCTCTAAAAGCCCAGAGGGCTTCTGTTCTGATCACTTTGACCTCTGAGAACCCTGTGGAAGGAATCACAGTGTTTTAGGCTACAGTCTGCCCACCCTTCTGCTCTCGGCTGGGTCCATTCCTGAGTTCACATTCAAGACCATCTTACCAACTGTCAACAGGGCCTGGGTGCCTCCCCAGTGCTTCACTAAATTTGAAATCTGCAACCGATGTCCTCATCTCCTTGGGACCTCCTGATAGGACGTGACCAGATGCCTCAGCCCGGCCAACCTGCTAGGGGGAGCACTTTTGAGGTCCGCTCTTTCCCGGGCTCATTGGAGGTCTGAGATCTCATTCTCGGTCCTCACTTGTCCTTGACACACGACCTGGGACAGCTGCCTCTGCTGATCTGATGCCCTTCCCTCCTGACAAAGGCCCTCGGCAATCTAGCCCCATCAAAAGAAAGGAGGGTTCGCATCCATCTGACTTCCTCCCTGGGCCTGTCAGGGATGCCAGTGGGGAGGGCAGGAGGTTCTGTCATCTCTCTCTCGGGGGTGGGTGTGAGTGGTACCATCAGTCTTCATTCAAGGTCCTTGCCCTAAATCTTTGTAGGGTCTGTGTCTTCTTCCCTTGTAGGTTTGGGGCAATGAGTCCAAGCTTCCTAGCACTCTCCAGGCAGTGAAGTGTCACCTCAGGCTCTCAGGCTCTCTGGGAGTTCTCAGGGCTGAGGCAAGGGCCGTGATGTATGGGATCTCCCTTTTTTGAGTCGGTGTTCCCCACAGTTTTCACTTAGAGCTCTGACACTGAATTCTGGTAGGACCCAGACCACTTTCCTCCACTGCCCTGAGTCCTCCACCCTCAAACCAGGCCCAGGACAGGGAAGTCAGCTCCTCCCCCCAACACCTATGTCCACGGTTGCCCGGAGCCGGGCAAAATCAGTGCGGGGACATCGTCAGTGTTGTCACCCCCATGGGGTAGGAGTGCCTTCATTAGCACACAGGGCCCACACCGTGACTCAACACCCAGCTCTCCTCCATCTGTGGGATCCAGACCAGTCCCTACGTCCAAGGTGCTCCCTGCCTCCCGAGACTTTCCAGGCAGATCTCCGCCGGACAGCCTGGCCAAGGCCTCCCGGTCCCCACCGCAGAGACGGGACTTAGTGGTCCCTCCTTGCCACAGGGTCAAACCTTCAGCCCTCGTTCGGGCTTTTCACCTTTATTCCGGAAAGGTCTGAAAATCCCCCCTGGGGCTACTGGACGCTGTGCCCCCTCAGAACCAGATCCTCACGTTCACTGCGGAAGTGATGATGTCCCATGTGACATCACTTCCGCCTGCCGCCGGGAGCTTCCAAGGGCTGACAGCAGGGCGAGACCCTCCGGCATGACAGTCTTCTGAAGCCAGTGGGCCCTAGGTCCTTACGCAGGGTTCTTACAGGTATTAGCGGAGTCTGGAAGCGCTTTCTCTTCTGGCCAGAGTCCGCCAGGCTCCAAACCAGGCCCCGCTTTCCTTGGTCCCTAGATGGGCAGTTTGGGGGTGCGACAAACGATGGCCACGTTCTGGGGCCTCACATGCCCGAAAGCGGGTGGGGGCTTTGGGTGGGCCCGTGTTTTCGGGAGAACTCCTTTGCTTGCCATAGTCGATCCTCACATCAACAGCTCTCAGGGTCGAGGACCTCTGAAGAACTGAGGCTGCCTGCCCCATGAGGCAAGGCCATGGTATCCCTGGCACCGTTTCGGCTGAAATGAGAGGCATCTCGGCCTCATGTTTCTGCCTGACGTCCCCCAAGGTGAAGAACCGGGGCCAGGCTCCCTGAAGTCCTCTCATTCGTGGTTTCAGTTATCCCTGATTCAGTCACCCAGGAACCTCGTCGTGCTTCCCGCGTCTTGGGACTCCCAGGTCCCTGATGTTAACTCTTCTTAGAGCAAGCTCTCTTCTTCCCGGGACGTGCCAGGTGGAAGTTAGAGTGGGGGACACTAGGCCAGGGGAGTTTGGGTCCCGTGAGTGCTGACAGCACAGCCAGGTTTCCATGGAGCTCCACTGTCATGGTTCCCTATTGTCCCGACTCAGGACCCTCCTCTTGGTCATAATCAGATCTTCGGATCCTCCCTCCACTTCACTGAGGTCACCTTCCTTAGGTCAAGGCTCTCGCTCCACGGAGAGCTATGGCGGCAAAAGTGAGAGTGCTCAGTGTGACTGCCCCACCTGGACCTTCTAGGACTGAGAGCAGGTTTTTGTAAAGATCTCTGAAGGACCCCCTATCTTTTGGGGTGGTTGTCTCGCCAACATTTTTCATGACCTCTCTCATTTTCCACTTTCTTTTAGATTAAAGGCTTCCTGGGAAATGCCTCAACCCCTACTGCAAACCTTGCGAGTCAGTGTAAGAGGCGTTAGGGCAGATTGAGAAACTGTATCACAAGGCAATGGGCCCCATTTATGTGGTGAGATATCAGTGAAAGTGATGGTGCCTTATACTTTTTTTTCTATAGCCATTATTAGCCTCTATAGGACTTGTATTTCATTGATTTAGCTTCTAGCGAGAAAAAGTTGGCCAGGATGGTTGTGTGATCTCTGATTTTAAATTTATCTGACTTTGCATATGCAGATGAATATATTGTCACTAAATAATATTTAGATTCTTTGGATTATTTATAAATTTCACTCATGGTGATATTCTTTTTTTTTTCATTCAGTGGTTTATTTATTTTTATTTTATTTTGTTTCATGGTGACATTCTTTTTTTTTTTTTTTTGAGTCGAAGTCTCACTCTGTCGCCCAGACTGGAGTGCAGTGGCACGTTCCTGGCCACCGCAGCCTTGACCTGCTGGGCTCTGGTGATCCTTCAGCCTCAGCCTTCCAAGTAGCTGGAATTACAGGCGTGTGCTACCACGCCCGGCTAATTTTTTGATTTATTGTAGAGACGAGGTCTCGCCAAGTTGCCCAGGTGGGACATTCTTTTTAAAAAAATTTTTATTTTAGAGATGTGTGGTACAATTCAGGGTTAGGTATACAAATGTTCATTATGCAGGTACCATTGTTGATATGGTGTGTTCCCCTCTCCCCTGGCAGTTACCCTTAACTACCAATTCCAACCCCTCCCCCAGCAGTTTCCCACTACTGCCAATCCTTTTTTTTTGTTATAAAGATGTGGGGTACAATTCAGGGTTAGGTATACAAACTTTGATTTTTCAGGTACCCTTGTTGATGAGGTGTGCCCCTCCCTACCCTAGCATTTTCCCTCAACTCATCAGTTTTTTATAGTATTACAATAGTTGTTCAAGGTCCACTTATGAGTGAAAACATATGGTACTCTGTTGTTTGTTTTTGTGATAGATCACTAAGTATGATACACTCTGAATTCATCCAAGTTGCTCCGAAGTCCATGTTTGTCCTTCTTTATGGCTGCGTAATTTTTCATTGGGTATATGTACCATTTTTTAAATCTAGTCCAGTTTTGATTGGCAGCACAGTTGGTTTTGTGTCTTTGTTATTGTGAATAGTGCTGCAAAAAACATGCATGTGCAGGGATCTTTTTTGTACAATGGTTTGAGTTCCTCTGGTTATATTCCCAATTTGGGGATTGCTGGGTCATATGGAAGGTCAATTTCTAGTTCTTTCAGAAATCACCACACTGTTTTCCAAAGAGCTTGCACAAGTTTGCATTCTTATCAGTAGTGTATAAGCATTCCTTTTCTCCCGGCATCCTTGCCAGCATCTGTTGTTATTTGTTTTATTAATGACGGCCATTCTTACAGGGTCGTATCTCAATTTGGTTTTGATTTACATTTCTCTGATGATTAGTGAGGCTGAGCACTTTTTCATGTGTCTGTTGGTGGCCTGTATATCTTCTTTTGAGAAGTGTCTATTCATGTCTTTTGCCCACCTTTTAATGGGGCTGTTTGTTGTTTTTTTCCTTTTAGCATGTTTGAGTCCCTTGTAGATCCTAGATGTTAGGCCTTTGTCAGATATACAGTTGGAAAATACCTTTTCCCTTTTGTGGGCTGTCTCTCCACTCTCTTGATGGTTTCTTTTGCTTTGCAGAAGCTTTTCAGTTTGTTGAGGTCCCAGCTGTCTATCTTATTTTATATCGCATGGGCACTTGGGGTTTTAATCAAGAATTGGTTGCCAGTTCCTATTTCCATAAGGGTGTCTCCTGCATTTTCTAACGTTATTGTAGTTTGAGGTTTTACATCTAGGTCTTGGATCCATTTAGAGTTGATTTTTGTGTATGGTGATAGGTAGGGCTCCTGTTTCAATCTTCTGCATGTGATCAGCCAGTTTTCCCAGCACCATTTACTCAATAAGTTCTCCTCTCCCCAGTGGTTTTTGTTGGAGGCTTTGTCAAAGATGAATTGATTGAGAAATTGAAGTTTTTCTTCTAGATCATGGTGACATTCCGTATTGCTTTGTGTATATGTTACAATCCAATTCTTTGGGCAAAGTTTTGGGAATAAAAGTGAATGAAAGGACACACATCTGTCAGGCAGAGAGGAATGGAACAAGTCATGGGGGTTCCAGAAAAATTCAGAGCAGGAGTCTAGTCTCAGCCCTATAGTTACTACCCTTGCATACATGAGGACATTACCAAACTCCAAGACAAAGAAATTGCAATATGAAACGTCATTGTACACCTAACCCTTAGCTGTACCCCACAAAACCATAATAAAAAATACAGATTAAAAAAAAATGCTCCTTAGCAATAACAATTGTGCAATATATAATGTGTTTGTGAGCTAGACTTTTACAATAGGATATAACTCACAGCTGGTAAAATTTTAGTCATCACCAGTATTTTTTCATACTCTCAAATGTGCTTCCATCTTAACCTCGAATATTTTATTCTTTAACCATCACTCAGAATTTAGA